CATAAGGCTGAGTGTAAACGGTGCCATTTCTAAAAAGCAAAGGCTTACAAAGTGTCAAGGCCTGACAGGAATTACTAGATAGAAAAAAAAAAAATACACCTGAATGGGAGTGTCAGTATGACACAGAATGAAGGTTGGAAATAAATGTTTGGAGACCAGAAGGACACAGAAGACTATAAGAAGAAGGACCCGTATTCTGGGTACCTGAGGGTGAAGTGTGGCCTGTGAGGCCAGATAATGGAGAAGGAAGCTGTGACCCTCTTGAGAAGAAAATGTGTGCCTATTGATGAAGAATGTCTGTGGTGATTCCCGTGGGACAAAGCTGAGCTCCTGAAGCTGAAGGGGCCTCCTGATACTCTGTCAACAGATTGAGGCCTGGGAGCGGGAGCAGCTGAGCCAGCCTGTGTGCTTCGACTACTGCTGTATCGACCAGTCTCCCTTCCAGCTGGTGGAGCAGACAACGCTGCACAAGGCAAGCCCTTGCCGACTGCTCAGGGCTTTAGGGAGGGCAGACAGACGTGGGGACACACTGACCTGTGCTTTCCCCATCAGACTCACACACTCTTCTCACTTCTTGGCCTCCATCTTGCCTATGTGACCAGCATGGGGAAGCTCAGAGGTGTCTTGGCACTCGAAGAGGTAAGGATGACTAGGCCCCGCTTGACCAGAGACAGAGAGGGAGGAATGGACCCAGGATTAGGGGACGTAGGCAGGGACCATGTAGAGCACCTATCCCTCCAGAAGGGAGAGACTGCAAGGCATGCTGTGGTCAGAGTTCTCCAGCTCAGAAGGGACCTGTAGGGTTTTCTCCCAGTAGCCTGGTTTGGGTAAGCTCCTGGGAGGGATGTGGGAACGTGTTGGAGGTCTGAAGCAATCCCTAGAAGAAAAGGGCTCCTGAGGTGCTGTCTCGAGGTGGCTGGAGAGTAGGTAATGTGCAGGAATAGCTTTGTCTTTGTCTTTCCCTGTGATTGTCCCTGTCAGTTTCTGCCTCTCCCTCTCTTGCCACTCTTCCCATTTCTGTTTCCTCCTGTTCTGTCTATTCCTGCGACGTCTCTCTCATTACCGTCTTCTTTCTCTCTCCCATTGTCCCTCTCTTCACCTCTCCCCTTCCTCCCCAGCTACAGAAAGCTATCGAGGGCCACACCAAATCTGGGGTGCAGCTCCGCCCTCCTCTTGCCAGTTTCCGGAATACAACTTCAACTCGGAAGAGTCCTGGAGGGCCACCTCCTCCTGCAGAGGGCTGGAGTCTGCCTGAGGGTGGAGATGGGGCTCCTGGAACAGAAGTCATGGTTCCTACCATGCCAGAGACTCCTGTACCACCGCCATCTCCAGAGGTCGCTCATTGCATGGCCCCCGCCAGAGTAGAGGGGGAGCTGGAGGAGCTGGAGATGGTGGGAAGCCAGGGACCTGAGGAGGAGCTGGCCGACATTTTGCATGGCCCCAGCCTTCGGTCCACTGATGAGGAGGATGAGGATGAGCTGATTCTGTGAAGAATTACCTCCAAGCTGTCTTGGAAAAACCATGGGGCCCAGGCCAGAGCGCAGACTCCTGTGTGACAGGGGAGCCTTGAAGCTGGGGAGGCCCCACTTCATCTTGTCCCCACCCCCACTGTGAAAGGTGATGGTCTTAAAGAGAACTAGACCTTACAAAGGGAAGAATTTGGGTTCCCCAGACCCCTTCCCCCACTTTCAGGCAGCGCTCGAGGCCCAGTGCTTGGAAGAGCCCTGTGTTTCCCTGCTCTGCAGGCTTAGTCCCCATCAGTCTTTAACCTCCCACGGTTCCTGGTGTTGCTCACTCACCACCTGGCCCTGCTGGTTTAGATTTCGCCTTCCACATGGAGTAGGTGAGCAGAGGCCCAGATTGATTGACTCGGCAG